TCCTATAAATAATTATTAGTAATTATAGACTATTAAACGAGATTATCTTTAATAAAGGAAGTACGTTTATAGCTAAATTTTAGTAAGCTCTTATAGTATAATTAAGGACGAAATATAAGCTTAATATAGCTTATTACTAATAAATAGATAGATAAATAGAACGACTTAACTAAACGCTTAAATAATATTTATAATACTATATTAGCTACGAATAAAACGATTAAGTTAAATAGCTACTAATAGCGTAACTAGCTTATAATAGCTTAGCTACGGAAATAACTAAGCTCTTACTAGTATACGCTAATTATAAATATAACCTAAAAGTATTTAATATTACTTAATAAGGACTATAAGCGGAATAAGTAATACTATAAGTAGATTAGCTATAAAAATTATATAAAGAAATATAATAAGAACTTTAATTTATTAAAGAATAAATATCTACTTACTATAATCGGAAAAGATTATAGGGACTAATCTTTTAAGAGGGAGATATAGTTTACCTTATATAACGAAATATTAAAATAAAATAACTAAGTAATAAATTAGATTTTAAGAAATTTAGACTATTTAAGGTTAAGAAAACTATTTTAAAAGTTAACTACGAACTTTCGCTATTAATAATAATATAGATATACTTAATATTTTATATCTTATTATTAAAACTAGCGCTATAAAACGCTAAACTATAGGAAAAAATTAAAGTTAACGATAATTAAAAATATAAAGTAGAATAAATACTAGATATAAGAAAATAAGGTTAGTAATAAGAATACCTTATTAAGTAGAAGGGATATAGACTAGAGGAAAATACCTAGGAACTACTTAAGCACTTAACCTACTATAGCTCTTTACTTCGATAATTTTACTAAAAGGTTTAAGAGGGATTAAAGGACTAAGATCCGTAAACTCCTCGTTAATACTAAATAAGGACTAATTCGCCTTATTAAGAACGCCTAACGATTATAAGTTATTTACTACCTAATACTTATATATATTAAGTATAGGTAAAACGCTATCTTTAGTATCTACTTCTTAGATACTATAACGAAATAACTTAGAACTCTTTTCCTTTATATAATTCTAAATCTTCTAAATATAAGCTAAATAATTAATAGTAATAGATATTTATAACTAAAGGTTCGTAAGCTATGCCTAAAGCTTTAATAAGGCTTTCCTAGCTTCCTCCTCTTTAGAATATAGCCTATACTACTCTACTAATAATTTAGTTATTAAAAGAAATATATTAGCTACTATATATAGAAAGAATTAAAAGATACCTATAAAAAGAGGCTACTAAAATACTATTATAATAGGGATAACTACTAGTAATATAATTATTATAGCGCGAAGAATTTTTAACTATTTAATAATTTATCTTCTTTACCTTAAAGTATTAAGTATACGGTATATCGGTAGGATCTCTACTTAAGTTAATATATTTAGTAAGAGTAGCGCGCTTAAAGGCTTTTTAGGAAAAAATTTTTAGTATATAACTAGATATACTATTAGTAGTATATCCTAAAAGGATAAAGAAATAAGGAACGATATACTTACGTATAACGTAATAAGGGTATATTTATATATAGCGGCTAAGGTAGCTATAGTAGGTCTTATAGATAAAACTAAAAGGAGGGGAGATATCGTATTACGACTATAGCTACTAGGCCGCTAACGGTTGACCGCGTTAAGCACGTAATACGGTTTAACGGATAAATAGTCGGCATGACTATCTAATAGATATAAGATCGAGGGGATCGTAGAGATCTAAGTAATCTAGGATTAATAGGATTACTACGCTCTATACGATCTAACGTTAGGGATTATAGCTAGGCCTATAATCTAAGGATAGTCTTTATAGGTATATATAGCTACCTACTTTTACTCCTTTAAATAGATAGCTCTCTAGCTTTTAATATATTATAGATCTTTATTACGATTCTATCTCTAATTTTAATTACCTAGTTATAGTCTATAGTCTACGACCTCTAACTTATTACTAACGTAATATACTTATTATTACTTAGACCGCGCCCTATTATATCTACTAATATAAACCCCTCGATAGGTTTATCCCTTAGGAATAATACCGGTCGTTATAATAAGACTACGTTACGCCGTTACTATTAAGGTAAATAGCGATTAAGACGTAATATAAACTCCCTCTATAAATCTTAACTATTAAAATAGTAGGAACTAGATCTTATTACTTATATTTATAAGCTTTCGTTATATAGTATCCCGCCTACGCTATTTATAATTAAGAACTTCGCTTAGAATATAGTAAAAATAGAGGTTAAAAAGAACTAGCTATATAGCTTTATTAACCGCTATCGTAATAAGCTTAGTTATACCTAGTTCGATAGATTTAATATAGCGCGAAAGAGAGCTAATAGTACTTTAAGGTATAAAGATTATTTTAAGCTAGTAAGTTAATATATAGTATCTTATTTCCGTTACTAATAGTAAAAGATACGCTTAAAAATTAAGGAATATAATATCGCCCTTTATAATATATATAATATAGACGAAAAAGGCTTTCTCTTAAGTATTATTAACCGAACTAAGAGAGTATTCTCTTTTAATTAGAAAAAGTATAGTAAATTACTTAGTATATCGTAAGATAGTAATTAATCCTAGATTATATTTATAGCTTATATTTATTAAGATATAATATTACTACCTCCTTTTCTTATTTACTAAGGCAAGCTAGGATAAGTTTAGGATGCTTAGCTTATAGAATTTAACCTAGAGTATTAATTAGCCTTCTTTATAACCTTAGATATAGGCTAGATTAACTACGAGCTTAGAAAATAGTAGCTTATCGGCGTTTTTAATTAGTTTACTAAGGTAAAGGCGCGAAACGGCCGCGATTATCGCCTTCTTATTACTAATAGCTATATAAGCTATATTAATATAGACTTTCTAAAGTAGTATAACTAGTATCGGATTATCGTTATAGTATTTCCCCCTTATTTTACTTATTAGCTCTAGCCCTTAAACTTATCTCTATTTAGTCCCTTATAAACGGTATATATAAATTATCTTATCTAGTAGATAGTAAAATATAAGGACTTATTAGGCTATTTAAACGCGAATTCTAGATCTTATTTTAGAACGTATTAAAGGCATCCTTCTCCTTAGAAAATATTATAAGCGGGTAGATATAGACCGGCCTCCTACTTTTAAACTCTAAAGTCGTCTTATTATAAATTATAAAGAAAGAATATAACGATTCTAATATAGGCAGCGATTTAAAAGACTCCTTAGTATTATAGCAACCTACCGCTTAAGAATTATAACGGCTTATTAATAAAGTAGTCGATAAATCTACTACTAATACTAAAGTTAGTACTTAGAAGCTAAAGAGCACTCTTAAAAGCCTTTAATCTAAGGTTAAGCTACTTAGATATAAGAATAAGGGACTCTATAAGACTATAATTTATAAGAAATAGTATAGGTAGTATAGTATAGCTTTAAAAGATTATCTCTTTAATCGTATAGATCCTAACTATACTTAGGTCTTTAGCCTATAAAAAGTAGCTTAAGCTTAAGTAAAGAAAGCAGCGATAGAGGTCTAAAAGAAAGAGGAAGTAATCTAGAGGGAATTCTAGAGGGTTTAGTAATAAAAAAAGGCAAAGGAGTAAAAAGAGTAGGCGTTAGAAAGAAAGAAGTAGTAAGCGGAGAAAAGGGAGTAAAAATTATAGGAAAAAGAAGTAAAGAAGTAAGAGAAAGCGGCTAGTCGATAACTTTAAGACGATCTTAAAGGTCTAAGCTAGGAAAGTACGTAATAAAAGCCGCGGCCTTAGCGGGTGCCTTCTAAAGCTCGAGAGAAGAGTCTAGGGACTCTAGATAAAATAGTTATCGCTCTTTTACTAACCCTAGAGCTTCTAGTAATATCGCAGCCGCTAAATCAGCTAAAGGATAGGTTAGTAAAGAAGGTAAGGATTCCGCTAGACTAGATAGCTCGTGCCTAACGACCTTCTCTAGCTATTAAGAGTAATTAAGAGATAGTAGTAGTATATCGGAGCTTAGGACGCCCGTAGCGGAATAGCAAGCGACTATAGTAGCTTAAGGACTATAAAATAGGATAATATATATATTATAATTGCATTTTCGTCTTATTTTAAATTTAGGAAAATCGAGCCCCGTTGCTATAGAGTTATTATAGATTAATATCGAGCTCGTGGCGGCGTGTAAGTCCGGCGGGTCACGGGATCCGGCAGATCACCGGTAAATCCCTTATAATAGGGTCCTTAGGCCTTTTACTAGAGGAGTAGTCTAAGTAACGTGACTTTGACCTAAAACGGTTAGACTCCTCTTAAAATAGCCTGAGCACTGCTAAGGTAAGCTTGTATCTAGCTTTGATCACATGGTTAGTACGTGACCTTTAGGGTCACGTGTGCGGCTGAGGCTCGCGTGCCCCTTCATCTCCACGCTAGCCTCTGCCTCCCTACTCCGTAGAGAAGAACAAGAACAACGATTACACATACCATTACGATTTGCACGCAGGCCTGTGTAGAGACCTACCGACAGTTAGGGTATTTAGAAGGTACGGGTACTTGCCAGGCCAGGTGCGGTACAAAGTGTTAGGGCGGGCTAGCGGCTGTACGTATCTAAAAAAGGGATGTGGGTGCAAATAGATATTTGTGTGAATGCCAATAGTAATACTCGATTATTATGTCGCCGAGATGAGTGGAAGCGGGCAATGTTGGATTGAAGCTGGCAATATTGGATTGAAGCGGGCATGTATGGTTGGGTGTTGTAGGGTATATACATATATATAGAGGGGGGTTGAGGGAGGAGGGAGAAGAGGGACAGAGAGAGAGTGCGTTTGTTGTTTTATATATATCGAATTTTATTATTAAAAGATGAAAAAGGCTGGCAGGAGCAGTACGACTAGTGTAATGTTGCTGTTGTCATTAGTATTATTCGTCGCCCCCGTGGCATGTGACGTCCGACTGCAACAGGCGGCGGTCAAGAGCTACATCTCGCGGATGATGCGCGACATCGAGATGGACTGGGACAAGCCGCCGTCGCTCAACAGCAGCTCGATCTTCGAGTCGACGGCGTGGCCGCTGACGCTGACGTGCGCGACGACCGAGTTCAAGCGGCGGATCGAGGTGGCGTGGCCGTACGGGCTAACGAGGTACCAGCCCAATATGACGGTCTACTACAAGTCGTTTGAGGAGCGCAGCGTGGCCAACACGGGCGACGACGACATGGAGATGACGTCGGAGCACTCGACGACCAGCATCGACAGCACGACGGGCGGGTGGCAGGTCGGGGCGCAGCTGGCGGGCGGGAGTGAGGGCGTGTCCATCGGCATCTCGGCCGCCTACTCGCGGTCGTGGACGACGGGCACGTACAAGACGGATGCGGTGACGATCCGCACGTCGTGCAAGTCGGGCTACGAATGCCGCATCGAGACGTGGACGTTCCACCTGTCGGTGGTGGGCAACTGCCGCGTCAAACCGCTGATTGTGTGCGGCGGGAGCGAGCTGAACGTGTGCCGCATCGACCTGTCGCGCTTCCCCAAGCAGTACAGCGACTACCAGGCGCGCTCGTGCCCCCTGGGCAGCCGGGGGTTACGGCCGTACCGGCACGAGGCGTGCAAGGTCAAGATGCCCATCCTCGACCAGGTGGGCAAGCCGGTGACGCGCATGGTGCGCATCTCGGAGAAGTTTATCCCCGACGACGACGAGGGCGAGGGCAGCGATAAGAGTGGCGGTGGTGGCGGCAAGACGCTCAAGGCGGTACTCAAGGAGGACGGCTGGTACCGGCTCGACAACGGCGAGTGGTACGACCCCGGCGACGGCCTGTACTACGGCGCCAACGGCGACTCGTGGTATGCCAAGCCCGGGCCGCAGCCGGACCTGTCCATGTTCGACGTCGCCATGCCGAGGCCGCGGAGGTCGGTCGAGAGGGAGAGGAAGCTGGTGGAGATTGTCTTTTTGGACAAGCCGACCTTTTAGAGTGTTGACGTGCATGTACATCCTGTTGGCTATTATAGGCACCGCTGTTAGTAGGTCACCTGAAGGATCAAGGGAGGGCCACCTGAAGGATCATTATGAGGCCATGTATCGGGGACCCATAAAGACCTCACGTATGGGGCCAGTTTGGTGCCTATGTAAGTCACCTGAGGGCCCCTCTGACTACGGCATAAATAGGGCCCTGTGGCCGATTCTTTCTAGCTAGATCATGCATCTTTATCCCTTCTTGTGCTGCCCCTACCTCATGAGTACCAGAATAACAGTCCATCGACACATACATACTCGGTATAATATAGTCCGTACATATATGGACTGGTGATTGATTACATGTTTAACAGACCCGATATCAAGAGTTAACGAGCAAGTTGCATGCTCACTCGAGGTTACACTCGACTCCAAAATGCCAATATCGTATATGCAATGCAACTGGGTATGTAGCTAGCTAATAGCCCACACCAATACCTCACGTTACGAAGCTGCTGAGGCTTGGCACTGATAGCCCCACAGTACCACAGGCCCTTTATCGTCGCCATGACACACACAAATGCCGGCAAGACAGAATATCAAATGAGTATTGCTATTTGTACATACACATATCTCTATTTGTACAAACGCCCCATTTTTAGATACGTACCAACGCCAGCCCGCCCCGCCTATTAATACCGCGCCCGCATAGCAGGTAGCGGTACCGCCCAAATGCCCGCGCCCGAGCCCGCCTACACACACACACCACACATATATATAAGATCCTACCTATATTCTATATATATACACTAAATTTAAAGCTATCGCCGCCGCCGCGATAGACCCCCTTCTCTCCTTCCTTAATGCACCTATGCTACCTTAAGGCGATAATAAATCTTACGATACTAACGAGGAACGCGGAGATACTATCCCGCCCTTGCCGCCGTCTCTAAGCTTCGAAACCTACGATAAGGCGTATAACTTCGTCTAGGGCTTCCTTCGCGAGAACGGTACTACCGTTATTAAGCGGTTAAGCTTATATAAGCGAGATATTAACGGGATCTCCCTTATAACCTAAGTTATCTTTATATACGATTATAGCCCGCGGCGGGCTTCTACTAGTATAGGGCTATATAAGCCGTTTACCTAGAAGCTTAACTGCCCTTTTTACCTCGTTATAACGGCCTTATATAACGAGGAAGGAGCTTAGTAGTAGACTTTTTAAGTTATTAAGGGCTACTATAACTATAGGCTATCTCTTAATCCCTTAGCGTATAATATTTATCGCTAATAGACCGTAATATAGTAAGCTCTTAAGTAGAACCTCTCTTAATATAAAGCGCTACTAGCTCGAGAGATATCGACTATTTTATCTAAGACCGAGCCTTCTATAGTATTCTTTTATATCTAAGATATCTATAACGATCGCTAAAAGATCCGTTTTACCGCTCTTAGAGGTATAATAGCTATATAAGCGTTCTTATAGTATCTTTAAGCTAGCGATCTTCCTTATTATATTAAATTCGACCTATATAATAAAAATAAGATTTAAGGCGTATTATAGACCTACCTATAGTATTAGAAGATATAGAAACGTTTCCCTAAGGTTCTTAGTATTAATAATATATATAAGACGAACCGCTTTAAGCTCTTCCTTTTCTAGGTTACTAGGGTTACTAACTAAAAATCTCTAGTAAACTTCGCTTTTAGCCTTATTAATATAGAGAAAGAAGAGGGATATTAGTAACTTTATAAGTCTTATAACGAGCTTTATAGGGCGATTAATATATAAGAGCTTAATATAGTTATTATAGATAAAGAAGGTACCCTTAAAAACGCTCTTTTTATATTTTCCCTCTTATATAATAATAACTCTATATATTCTACGTTAATAGTAACGTTCGGGCTCGAATCTAGTTATATTAAAGAGATAAAGTAAATCCCGATAGCCCTAAAAACCTACTAATATAGAGATCCCTTTAGAGGTCGAAGCTATTCTCGCTTAAGAAGCCGTCGAATAAGGCGCCGCTAAGTAAAGCGCCGCCGCAGCGGCTAATTTAAACCTCGACCTAGATAGCGAAGTCGAATATAGCTATAAGGGTATATTCCTTACTTAGAAGCGCGTTATTTACGTAAAAATAGAGGCGAATTTCTATAAAGTATAAGAGAGGCTTAATATAATAACCGGCGTTATTCCTAAGGGATAAACCTATTAAGGGGTTTATATTAGCAGATATAATAGGGCGTGGTCTAAGTAATAATAAGTATATTACGTTAGTAATAAGTCGGAGGTCGTAGACTATAGACTATAACTAGGTAATTAAGTAATCGGAATTAGAGATAAGATCGTAATAAAGATCGTAATAATTATAATATTAAAAGCTAGAGAGCTATCTATTTAAAGGAGTAAAAGTAGGTAGCTATATATACCTATAGAGACTATCCTTAGATTATAGGCCTAGCTATAATCCCTAACGTTAGATCGTATAGAGTATAATAATCCTATTAATCTTAGATTACTTAGATCTCTACGATCCCCTTAATCTTATATCTATTAAATAGTCGTGCCGACTATTTATCTATTAGACCGTATTACGTGCTTAACGCGGTCGACCGTTAGCGGCCTAGTAGCCGTAGTCGTAATATAATATCTCCCCTCCTTTTAGTCTTATCTATAAGACCTACTATAGCTACCTTAGCCGCCGTATATAAATATATCCTTATTGCGTTATACGTAAGTATATTATTCCTTATTTCTTTATCTTTTTAGGATATACTACTAATAGTATATCTAGTTATATATTAAAAAATCGTTCTTAAAAAGCCTCTAAGCGCGCTACTCTTACTAAATATATTAATTTAAGTAGAGATCCTACTAATATACTATATACTTAATGCTTTAAAGCGAAGAAGATAAATTATTAAATAGCCGAAAATTCTTCGCGCTATAATAATTATATTATTAATAGTTATCCTTATTATAATAGTATTTTAGTAGCCTCTTCTTATAAGTATCTTTTAATTCTTTCTATATATAGTAGCTAATATATTTCTTTTAGTAACTAAATTATTAGCGGAGTAGTATAGGCTATATTATAAAGAGGAGGAAGCTAGGGAAGCCTTATTAGAGCTTTAGGCATAGCTTACGAACCTTTAGTCGTAAATATCTATCGCCGTTAATCGTTTAGCTTATATCTAGAAGATTTAGAATTATATAAAGGAAAAGAGTTCTAAGTTATTTTATCGTAGTATCTAAGAAGTAGATACTAAGGATAGCGTTTTACCTACGCTCGATATATATAAGTATTAGGTAGTAAATAACTTATAATCGTTAAGCGTTCTTAATAAGGCGAATTAGTCCTTATTTAGTATTAGTAAGGAGTTTATAGATCTTAGTCCTTTAATCCCTCCTAAACCTTTAAGTAAAATTATCGAAGTAGAGAGCTATAGTAGGTTAAGTACTTAAGTAGTTCCTAGGTATTTTCCTTTAGTCTATATCCCTTCTACTTAATAAGGTACTCTTATTACTAACCTTATTTTCTTATATCTAGTATTTATTCTACTTTATATTCTTAATTATTATTAACTTTAATTTTTCCCTATAATTTAGTATTTTATAGCGCTAGTTCTAATAATAAGATATAAAATATTAGGTATATCTATATTATTATTAGTAGTAAAAGTTTATAGTTAACTTTTAAAATAGTTTTCTTAACCTTAAACGGTCTAAGTTTCTTAAAATCTAATTTATTACTTAGTCGTTTTATTTTAATATTTTATCGTATAAGGTAGACTATATCTCCCTCTTAAAAGATTAGTCCCTATAATCTTTTCCGATTATAGTAAGTAGATATTCGTTCTTTAATAAATTAAAGTTCTTACTATATTTCTTTATATAATTTTCGTAGTTAATCTACTTATAGTATCGCTCGTTCTACTTATAGTCCTTATTAAGTAACCTTAAATACTTCTAGGTTATATCCGTAATTAGCGTATATTAGTAAGAGCTTAGTTATTTCTATAACTAAGCTATTATAAGCTAGTTACGCTATTAGTAGCTATTTAACTTAATCGTTTTATTCGTAGCTAATATAGTATCGTAAATATTATTTAAGGGTTTAGTTAAGTCGTTCTATTTATCTATCTATTTATAGGTAATAAGCTATACTAAGCTTATATTTCGTCCTTAATTATACTATAAGAGCTTACTAAAATTTAGCTATAAATATACTTCTTCTATTAAAGATAATCTTATTTAGTAGTCTATAATTACTAATAATTATTCGTAGGAATATATATACTAGCTCTTTTATATTACTTACTTCTTTATATAGTAAAAAGTATCTATACTTCGTTAATCTATTAGTAATAACGAATATACTATTATACTTAACGTTAGTTATAGGTTCTTTTAACGGTAATAGCTTTATAATATAGTCGAAAGCTATTAAATCCTATAGTTTCTTTAGTACTAGTAGCGGTTGTAATTCTCTATATAGTTTATATCGTTTAGCTTTACTTCGTACGTAAAGTTTATATTCTTTAATAACTTATCGTACTACTTCTTTAAGCTATAAGAAGTTATATTATCGTTTAATCCGTTCTATTATTCTTTAGATTCCTTAGTATCTATATATTAGATATTTATATATATCTTATATAACTTTATCTTATAATTCTAGTAGTATCTAGATTTTATTTTTATATATTAGAACTTTTAAATATTCTATATTATATCTATTTAGTACTTTATATTCTTTTATCTATTTTAGGATCTTTTAGTATATTAAGTTATTAGGTTATACTTTAAATATTATATTTAGCTATTATTACTAGTAGTTCCTATTTTCGTTAATTTCTAGGAGCTATCCTTTTACTATAGGTGCCCCTATACTATAGTTACTTCGTCGACTAAGGGTATTAGCTCGACTATTTTCTATTCCTTCTTTATAGATTATTTTATAGTCGAATTCTAATAAGTATTCGGCTTATTAGATCTATTATCTATTTAACTATTA